AAAAAATCTTATTATATCTGCCCCTTTTTTCAAACAATTATTTCAATCATAATAATTTTCAAGTAACAGAACAAAATGAATAACTCTTTCTAATTTTTCTAATTCTAATACAAAACACACACTAAGCTGCTTCATATATACTTTTTTAACAATTCAGCTTTGATCTTTTTCTTAAATGTACACATTGACTTGGCATTTTTAACATCACTCTCTAGACCATTCCACAATCCAACTCCTTGGATTGAGGTAGACCTTCCATTCAGACTAGTTCTGAATTTTGGTTTGACAAATATCTCTATCCCCTTAAGATTATAGCAACTTTGTCTTTTAACAAAATTTCTTTGGATATTTAATGGTAATGTGTTATTTTGATCCCTATACATAACTGATAAAATACAGTAATCTACCAAATCATGGAACTTCAATAACTTCAGTTGATAAAATAACGTGCTTGATGGGTGACTGTAATGCTTTCTGGTGATAATTCTTACAGCTCTTTTCTGTAAAATAAAAATAGGTTTTGTAAATGTTTTACACACTTTCCCCCAAACATCAATGCAATAGATTAAATGTGGAACAATAATTGTGTTATACAACATGTACAGAGCTTTATCATTTAATAATTCCCTGACTTTGTATAGTACTGCAATAGATTTAGCTATTTTTATTCTTACAGAATTTATGTGATTTTTCCATGTTAGCTGTTCATCAATGATTACACCCAAAAATTTCATCTCACTAACTCTGAAAATCTCAACACCCGACTACACTCTACACATCTCAACAACAGAAGTACAGAGAGGGTCAGAAAGAACTCCATTGTGTCTTTGCGGATTTAGAAAAAGCATATGACAGAGTGCTGAGGGAGGAGGTGTGGTATTGCATGAAAAAATCTGGAGGGGCAGAGATGTATGTTAGACTGGTACAGGACATGTATGAGGACAGCAGGACAGTGGTGAGATGTGCTGTAGGAGTGACAGATAGCTTCAAATTGGAGGTGGGAGTGCATGAAGGATCGGCTCTGAGCCCCTTCTTGTTTGCTCTGGTGATGGACCGACTAACAGATGAGGTCAGGCAGGAATCCCTGTGGACTATGATGTTTGCAGATGACATTGTGATCTGTGGTGAGAAGAGGGAACAGGTGGAAGAAAACTTGGAGAGGTGGTATGCACTTGAAAGAAGAGGAATGAAAGTCAGCCGTAGTAAGACAGAGTACATTTGTGTGAATGAGAGGGAGACAGGTGGAACAGTGAGGCTACAAGGAGCAGAGGTCACAAAGGTGCAGGACTTCAAGTACTTGGGGTCCACTGTCCAGGAAAATGGGGAGTGTGGTAAAGAGGTGAAAAAAACAATAGTCCAGGCAGGATGGAGTGGATGGAGAAAAGTTTCAGGAGTGATTTTGCGACAAAAGCGTGCTGGCAAAGCCAAAGGAAAAGTTTACAAGACAGTGGTGAGACCAGCTATGTTGTATGGTCTGGAGACAGTGGCATTGACAAAAAGACAGGAGAAAGAACTGGAAGTGGCAGAAATGAAGATGCTGAGATTCTCCTTAGGAGTGACAAGGATGGATAAGATTAGGAATGAAATCATCAGAGGTACAGCACAAGTTGAACAACTGGGAGATAAAGTTAGAGAGACCAGACTGAGATGGTTTGGACATGTCCAGAGGAGGGACAGTGGGTATATTGGTAGAAGGATGTTAGAAATGCAGCTGTCAGGGAAAAGACAAAAAGGAATTCCAAAGTGAAGATAGATGGATGCAGTTTGAGAGGACATGGAGGTAGATGGAGTGAGAACAGAGGATGCAGAGGACAGAGTGAGATGGAGGAGGATGACTCTGTGGCGACCACTGAAGAGAGAAAAAACAAAAAAAGAAAAGGAAGAGGAAGAAGAGATATACTTTTTATACTTATAAAACTATTAAGAGCCTTTGGGAATGCAGAAGGGTTTCATTATATGTATAAAATACATTTAAATTTTGTACCCTGCTTTCATGTGATGGCAATATATTTTAACACATTGGAGACTTGTCCACAGTAATGATGGTGTTGCTCCAGTCTGCCTTAGTGAAGAATGAGCTGAGCTATAAAGTCTAACAGTCAACGCTAACTGAAAGAACAAAAATCCCAGACACAAGTGACTGATATGAGCTTCCTGTGTAGGGGTGGTGTGTTTAACCAGAGATGAGGTGAGCATCTCCATCACCTGGGAGGAGCTCAGAGTAGATCAGCTGCTACTCCACATCAAAAGAAGCCAACTGAGTGCTTTGGACATTTGATTAGGATGCTTCAGGGATTCCTCCTTTTGGAGTTTTTAAGGCACATCCCACTGAGGAGACCCAGGCAGACCCAGAACTCACTTAAGACATTATATTTCCCATCCGATCTGGGAACGCCTTGACATTCCCCAAGAAAAAGCTGGAGAGAGACATCTCAGTTTCCTTCCTAAACCTAGTGCCTCTGCAACCCAATCACAGACAAGTGAAAGATGGATGGATAGCGTTGAATGAAAAATGACATCAAACAACATGAACGTGGTTAACTTAATAGCTCATATCTTCCTATGATTATTAGATTAAATAAAGATCTGAAAGCTGTTGTCTAACCTTGCAGTGTAATTTAGCTACCACATCTTGCCACACATTTGCATAATTATACCAAGTGGTTTGCTTGGCAAGAGGTAAAGAAAAAGAAACCACTGTCTTTCCTTTTGTTTAGTTTTTTTGTATTCTGACGTAACTGAAAAGACTTGGCTTTTATGGCTTAAAGAGACAGAAGTTAAAATGAAGTATTTTAGACAGACAGGTATGAGAAATGATTTAACAATGTACATTATGTAAAAAAAATGGCAAGGTGTTGAATCTATTTGAGCAGAGGAACTACTTACAAGTTATATTCGGTCTTCAAAATGCTGAAGTATGTTTCACATTTAACCATAACTTTATGACTATGACTGGATGTGGTCGAATTAAAAGTATACCTAACAATAACCAGGTAAAAAAACCACAAAGTCAAGATCACCTGTTAAACCAAACTTTAAAATATATAGCATTACTGTGACCGTTTTTCCAGCTTCTTTTTGATTAGCTTGATTAGCTCAAACTGTACCTCATGGTTCTCCGTAGATGGATGGAGGGGTTGACACGGTAAGCCACAGCCTCAGGTTGAGATCCATCCACCCTCCTCACGCCTCTCAACTCATTCAGTCGAAACTCCTCCAGCAGGTCAAAACCTCACAAAGCAAACACCGACTTTAACTCAACAGCAGACTATTTCAACACCAAAAGAAGTAGACTTTACTTCTGAATTGTGTGCCAATGCTTCTATCACAGGTTTCTTTAAAAAAGCTGCATTATTCATTGTTGTGAATAATGCATTTTACTAACCGGTAAGATGTAATCTTTTTACACCATTTGCACTAGGTAAGTTTTTTTTTATCCTATAGATATATTTCTAAACATTGAGTGCTTTGTGTTGCAGTTTGCATGAGGTCAACATGACTGTAGTGCTTCCTGTGATGTTAGAAAGTGTAGATGAAAGCCAGTCAAGGTTCTAATTACCGATTTTATGATCTAAACAGTAGAAAATAGTTTGTCTTTTTTTTTCCCTGTAAAATTTAAAGGGAATTTCACTACTGTGCAGCACGGTTATACTAACTGGTTCATTAATGGTGACAGCGAGCCTCAGCTGCAGGACATCAAAGCTTCTTGAACTCAGGGAAACCCAAGAATGACCTCATACTAGTCACATTTACACAGAGCAGGATAAAACGATGCAGTATAATGAACCACGAACTGACAAACACTGGCATCTGCTGGTGAGAATGTGGAAGTGCAGAATGTATGGTCGGGGAAAACTTTCATTCAACATTTATTTATACAGGTTAATCCCATTGAGCCACGGGGACTAATTTGCAAGAGAGACCTGATAACTTGCAGAATAACCAATCAATGTCATTACATATATTTTACTAGTTTACTATTTTTACTAGTCTTATTGCGTATGTCACTTTACCTACACCAATATCAAGGACTTCATACATACACTGTGTACATTCACTTCATATGCTGCTTTGCCACTCACTACAAATATCAATGTCAGGACCTTCATTTCATTTCATTTTCTTTTATAGATATACTTTTTTAAATATTTTTATACCGTATAGTACAATTTAAGACAGTATCATGCTTTTATTATTTCATTTTATGCTTATGTTTAATAAATGTTTTAATGTTAAATGGTTATTGTTGCGGCAGCACGGTGGCGCAACTGGTAGAGCTGCTGCCTCTCAGCGAGCAGGTCCTTGGTTCAAACCCCGGTCCAGGGGCCTTTCTGGGTGGAGTTTGCATGTTCTCTCCGTGCATGTGTGGGTTTTCTCCGGATACTCCGGTTTCCTCCCTGATATAAAAATATGTTTTATAAGGTGTGAAGTTGCCTTTATGCCGATTCAAACATATATATTTTGTGTGTGTTACTTATTCAGAATTAAATGTCTAAAATTGCCATAAAAGCAAGGGTGGAATGATATAGAAATTATTATTTTAATGCTTTTATGTCAATCTAGACCTATATTACACTTATTTAAACACACTTATACTCACTTTTGATGCAGCTTATCTGCTTATTCAGTCATTCCTGTGCTGCAGATGCGTTTTGGAGTAATTAAAGTTCTCTGGGGATGCTTTAGCCAGAAGATTGGGGCCCAATCTTAAGGTTACAGTGACCCAGGTTTTGAAGGACATGTTTATGAAACCATCGCTCTGTTGCACAGACTACTTTGATGAAGGAAAAACAGATTTAATTAAACCTGTTCTCCTGGCAATCATCAAAACTTGCTTTGATCTGCTCTCACGCGATCAGGGAAGCCTTTATAAGAAATGTATCAGACACAGAGAGTTAGAAGTCTTGCTCTGGACCAGCGCGCGGGTGCCAGGCAGTGTGATTGAGTTCTGTCATCGGATCGAAAGGCTTCCCGATCATTTTGTCACGGTGAGAGATACTCATATCAATTTGTGTGTTAAGAGTGTACATGACTCTTTTGCTTGGCTGTTTTTTCTTGTGGCAGATTAATAAATGACAAATATTATTCTAGCAAGTTACAGTCTGTGTGTCATTTTTTCCATCGTCTGAATATCTGTGCTGATCGTTCACGAACCTTTGATAAAGAATTTCACAATACACTCCCACAGACCAAAAACATGCATGTTAGGCTGATTGGTAACTCTAAATTGTCCCTAGGTGTGAATGAGGGAGTGAATGGTTGTTTGTCTCTATGTGGCCCTGTGATGGACTTGCGACCCGTCCAGGGTGTACCCCGCCCCTCGCACAGTGATTGCTGGACATGGGCACCAGCGACCCCCGTGACCCAAAATGGAATAAGCGGGTAAAGAAAATGGATGGATGGATGGATGGTTATTGTTGCACCGGGGTCTGAGATAAATGTAATTTCAATCCTGTGTCTGTCCTGTACATATTGCAGCTTTTGACAATAAAGTGACTTTGACTTGATATCTTCTTATGTATTTAATTTAACAAGAAAATACCTGTAAGACTTTTTGAATCTCTTTCATAGTGCATATTGTGGAAAATTAGCACACCAGTCCAACTTCGCACAACAACACCAAAGCTTGTAAAGTGGAACTGGATAATTACATATGCACTTAAATCATGCTATTGTCATCAAATGTACTTTAAATTTTGAACTTACTTGGCAATTTTTCACTCTGAGCAAATCCCAAGATGGAAAAGAAAGCTGCAAACATCAGCATGGGTTTGAAGACTGGCATGTTTGACAATTTGAAGTCAGAGGCCGTCAGTGCCTGTTGTACAACAGATTAAGACATTCATAATTTAAGCAGATTGAAATTAGGATTCGGTGCTATAAGAATGTAGGATTAGGCTGCTGATAAGAAGCCAGCATGTCCGTCTTCTTTACACATGTACAGCTGTATATAAAAAATGGAAAGACAGAAAGCAGCAAACAGTATATATATATATATATATATATATATATATATATATATATTTTTTTTTTTTTTTGGCGGGAGGAAATTGTTAACTGATGTTTTAAAAGTAGGTTTTTCTTAGATGTCAAAGATTTACACAAATATTTCTGATCATTATAGGGTCTTAATGCCTGTATCCAGATAGCACCATATCTTCTCATTAACAATCAATAAATTAAATTTGCTCTGCAAAAATACAGAGATTACTCACATCTTTAATTGACATCTATCAAAACCACTGTGTGATTGATATATAAAGAAAATGCGGACTTACGTTTCATTTCAAGCACAGGAGCTCCTGCAGATGGACGTTTCAGTTGCTGTAGTGAGGATATATCCTAGATTAAAGTGCCATCCGAGAGCCGGTGTTTGAGCTGAATAGGAGGACCATTCACATGGACAGCTCTGGATCTGAGTGGACCTAAACCCCTGAGCTCCACTGTACCTGTGGTCCCTGGGGATCCATCTCTTCCTATAGGCTAGTAATGTGGACAGTCACAATAACGAAGCTCAGTGAACACACTGAGGCAGGAAAACACCATGAAAATTTGGAACCACTGAGAAGAAAAAAATAACTAAATTGTTGCAGGAAGAAGAGGTTATCCAGTTATCATCAAAAGTTATCCAATAATTTGTCAGTGCAGATCATAAGATATTTTGTGCATTTGCTCATGCATCATTTTGATGCATGTCTTTGAAAATAAAATGTTTCAATTAATCCATTTTTATATTTTCTTTTAAAAACAACCACATTGTTTATGTGCCTGTCCAAAGGAGATACTTTCTATCTGCGAAAAAGATGAGGCATTTCACAGCCAAATATAAGACGCTCTGCAAACATTCCAACTTGACTAAATCACCACTCAAAGGCGGACTGCAAAGAAAATGACCACCAAGCAACTTCATTTAAATCTGCAAAGCATAAAACCAAATATGTGAAGTGAGATCAGAAAATGTACATTCTGTGAACGCAGTCGTTTCGGGCGGCTTTTTGCAAGCAGGTTTATTACAAAGTAAAGTTACAGTAACAATTTTGAGCTCAACGAAAAGACCGTACATAGACATGACTGCACAGAGAGTAGCTACGTGGAGTGGCACCTCCCCAAGAAAACGCACTGCTGTAAAGTGGTGGAACAAAAGCCAGGCTGCCGTGGCTGACAAACAAATGAAGAAGTTTTGAAAGCTTCATACTTACAAGGTTTCTGCTACCACTCGTAAATAAGAGTTTTCAAATCTTTCCGGAGTGCTTACTAAGGATTATTGTTCTATATTGCATTGCCCTTCTAAATGCAAGTTGGCAGTATAACATAGCACTTAAATAAATATTTGCAGTGCCTGAAGTGGTACAATAATGCACCATCTACTCCAAACATCACCGGTGATAAATTACAGTACATTCGGTAACTTTCCAAACCCCACCCTGCTCTTGTTGCCCTTCATTAGTTTGAAGAATTGTTAAATAATCGTTCCAACATGGTTACCCCCACAATTTTTTTGTGTTCGTCAATCCTCTATGGGATTTGCATAAATAAAATGAAGTTTAATTAAAAAAACAATTTCACAAAAAATAAAATACATTAAAAGCAAACACACAAGGCCATCAACATTCCATTCTCACATATTAAACCATACTGCCTCTTAACAGAATATTTTACATCTTTGCAACAATTTAAATAACACTCAACACATCTGCAGTCTCTTAAGGTCAACGTCTCCAGTGTCTTATGTTTTAAGGGTGCATTTAGCTCCTGGGTTGTTTGGTTTCAAGGCCACTGACTATTGCTTGGATCCCTTGGCCAGTTTGCTTGTGGAAGTGGTTTTTCTTTGAGGAGTAGGGATCTTGGAGGGTTTCCCTCCGTGTTGGCGGGATGCAGAGCGCGATGTCGCTCGAGTGGCCTCTCCGACTGTCTCGGATGCGTCCGAACACACAGACTGGATGTCTGAAATATCAAAGTCTGAGGCATCGCTTCCTCTGCGACTGCTCCCTCTGCTTCCGGCTTTACTGCCCGGTCGGCTGGAATTTTTCTTCAACTCTAGTAACGAGAAAACAAAAAAACATTAAAAGGCCTCACAATCCCAGAGGCAATGCCTTTCATTCGATGTCTTTAATGTCAAAGTTTTAGACTCAGATTATCTTATGTTTAGAAAAGACAGACTTGTAGCCGCTTTGGTTAAATTTTAAACATAACATTATTTATTTAGTCCAACAAAGTTCAGTTAGGTCATCTGGACGGTTTCTTCTTTTTTTTTTTTTTTTGGTTGAGACGTTTCGTCCTTCATCCAAAGGACTTCATCAGTCCGAGGAGCCAAGCAGCAAACCCATATAGTGGATGATTTCTGGAGTCTGCCCTCTCCCCCGTTGACTCCTCTGAGGCAGCCATAGCCAAAATGGTTCAAAAACTCAAAGTTCATGCTCAATAATCCAGGTAGAAAATCCAACAAAGTTCAGTCCGGTCATCAAAACGGTTACTTTTTTTTTTCTTCTTTTTTTGTTGTTGTTGAACCAGTTTGCTGGTGATAAGATGGTTTCTGGGGCCCATCCTCTCACCCATCGAAACGTCTCAACAAAATAATTTTAAAAAAAGAAACTGTCCAGATGACCTGACTGAACTTTGTTAGATTTTCTACCTGGATTATTGAGCATGGACTTTGATGTTTTTAACCACTTTGGCCATGCTGCCTCAGATGAGTCGATGGGGCAGGTCCCAGAAACCATCTTACCACCAGCAAACTGGTTGGTCCACTATGTGGGTTTGCTGCTTGTGGTACTGAGTTTGTTGTGGCTCCTCGGACTGATGAAGTCCTTTGGATGACGGATGAAACGTCTCAACAACAAAAAAACAAAAAAATAAAGAAATGTCCACATGACCTGACTGAACTTTGTTGGATTTTCTTCCTGGATGATTGAACATGAACTTTGATTATTTATTTAGAGAATGTGTTGTGAATTACTTACATCTACAATCACACAAAATGTTTGTAAAAAAATTGTAAAATTTACTGAATTTTATCCTTTTTTGTTTCCTAAGGTCAGTTGGCTGTGGAGGCCATCTTAAAATGAGTAGGTTCCAAAAGTTGTAACTTGTAAGTTACATTCAGTGAGTATTTAAAAAGATTTCAATAATACATGTGCAGTTGTTAATGATATTTATACCTTAAATACCTTATAAAGTATTGGTTTTTATTAGCTAATGGGAAAATGTTGAACTTGTGCAATTTGTTAGTGCTCATAATGTGTTAGGATCGGTCTTAGCTACAACCACACCAAGTTTGAGCCTAATATCTGTCAAATAGAAACATTGCTGTGTTTTGTAATATTATAATTTGTCATATCTTAAATTGGATTGACTCTATATGTTAATTACTTGTAGATGTTCATCCAATGATTATGTTTAATAGATATTATTAAAATCCATTAATTGGTTTATGAATTTTTTGCTAATGTAAATAATAAATTCAATAAATGAAATAAAAAAAATAAAGTATTCTGTTTAATATGCTACAAACAAAAATGAGAACAGAACGGTGACAAAGTGAATACTGAAAAATATTGACCAACCTGCAGGGAACTTGTAAAAAAAATCAGTTTTTATTTCTGTATAAAGTAGTCAGGGATCATCAATCAGAAAATAAATAATTATCGTTCCACTCACCACCGATTGTCTGCGTTCGAGCTTTCAGCACGGCAGCTTTGATCAAAGTTCCCTCTTCACCTGACTGAAATCCTTTGCCAGATAAGTAGCCAGGAAGGCGTAACTTGCTGCCTTGAACCGCTGTACTCTGTAAAACAACATCAAAGTAATAAATTTAGCTACATTTTATTTAGAATTATTTTATGGAAAAGATCTGATGAGTAGACGTCTACACTGAGCTGTTACTAAACCAATAAAACGGTTAAGGGATTAGTAATACATTTAAGAAAGTTCCTCTCAAAATAATTATTTTTGTATAAACAAGAATTGCCCTGTGAGTAGGAGTTAGTTGAAGTCGCACATTCCAAAATAAATGAGAAAGCGTTTAAGTAAGCATCAAAACCGAAGCCTTTGATTGAAAAGAAATTAAAGTTTGTAGACCCAACTGATATTTTTCTCTGCACAGTATTTTACAAACATTGTGGTATTTTTTTTTTTTATCCAAAGTTTCAAATAAATTCACACAAATTCAGTTTTTACTTTTTGCTAATACAGTAGTCCCTCGTGTCTTCGTGTTTAGACTTTTGCGGACTTGCTCTCTCGCAGTTTTTCAAAGTAAGATTGTACACGAGGGGGAAAAAAGTGTACACGACACACGATTGTCAACTTTAATATTACTCACGTGATTGGGACAGTACGGGATACAATGAAAAGTTAAAGAAAAAATACTTTGGATGGGCGCCGCCATTTTGTAGTTTTCACTCAACAAGCCTACACTATTGCCACTCAAAAAGACTACATTTCCCAGAAGTCAGCAGCAACCCACCCAGAAGCAACAGTGCTTCTAGTCGTAGCCTTCTACTGAAATGGAGGGAAAGTTTTGATCCGATCCAAAAAAGTTTGGTCCTTATTCATATTGACTTAAGTGCCCAGCAGATGCAGACAGCCGTACGGAACTGACCGGGAACCAGACCTCCAGACTCATCGGTCAATTTGGGTGCAGCCCGCCAGCCAATAAGGCCTCCTGAGCAGAGAGGTGCCACCTGGGGGTTTGTCGCTCTCTCCACTGGGACCCTGGAGCCCACCAGGACCTCCCCCATCTGGACCCGGACTCAATCAGGTCCACCGTGTGGTCCCGTGCTGGCCATCCGAAGGTCCGGCTCCCTCCAAAAGCATTTTGGTGTTCAAGAGCTGCAGAGAGCTGACCAGAACCAGACCAGACTTGGCAGGGTAGGTCTGCCTAGACTAGGGGTCTGCAACCTTTACGATCAAAAGAGCCATTTTTACATCTTCGTTCACTAAATTCAATGTGTCCAGAGCTACAACAAGCTGCTTCAACTATGGTTATCAACTGATGGCCCATGGGCTGCTTTACGCTCGTTGGAGGAGACTTTTGTGGCCAGTAGGGGTGACGTTTTAAAGCTAAAAATATGTAATGATTTTTAACATTTATTGACATTTTTGCAGTTTTAGACAAATGAAAAGACCAGATTATTGTAAAGGGGGGGGGGGGGGGATGGTTTGTTTTAAATAAAAGAACATCTATGAACTACGCAGACCTACGTATTATTTTTAATTTGTGGAAAAAAAAATCAAGTATAGAAATAAAGCAAAAAGTTAAATTGAGTATTTACAAAAGAAATGACAGGAAAACAGCTAAAACTAGAGTTGCTTGTATAACAACCAATAAAATTCAGTTTTGTGTTTGTTTTGGTCGAAGCTTGAAAGAGCCGCGTGTAGCTCCAGAGCCGCAGGTTGCAGACACCTGGCCTAGCCGGACCGGAACCGAGCCACTGTGTTCTGCAGAGCTGGTGAGTAAAATTTTGCAGTACTGTGCGCTACATATATGAATGTTGTTAAAATGACGTAGGTTTAAGAGTTTAGAACATTGTGGGCTTTTTTGCTACAGGGTAGGTCTGCCGAACCAGAACCGAGCTGATGTACACTAAAAATTTCAAGTTGAGCGAATGAACATTATCAAGTTATCTTTATTAATAAATTCTTGCTAAAAAAAAAATGTCAGTTTAACTTAAGTGTTATAAAGTTTCTACTTTGTGGTTTTTCACTTATTGTGGGGGTGTCTGGAACGTAACCACCACGATAACCGAGGGACTACTGTATTCATGTATAGTTGTTTGTGTGCTAAAAATGCAGTTGGGTCTCAGTTGGGTCATGTGACTGAAGCTTCGGGCACCATGAGCTGAACATGACTATACCTCTGAGGATGAACCTTGGCTCTCAAACGAGTCAGATGATTTAAGAGGAGAGCAGGATTTGCTGTTTGTAAGCCATGGCTTATCATAATTGCGGGTAATATGTTGGGGAGTCTGAGAAACAATGGTAAATCCAATGAAAAGAAAAAAACATGGATTCACAAATTCAAAAAAATTACATGGAACACAAAATGGAAATGTACAAAAACGACAAAATGGTAAAAAATAAACATAAAATGAGATGAAAGTGGGGAAGAGTGGAAAAAGCAATGCAGAAACAGGCTCCAGCAGATCCTCCTCACCTTGGGTGTGCCGGTGGCTGTCAGGTTTATTGGAATTGGGCAGCTCTGACTGGACATGGATCTGTTGGGAGAAGCTCCTCTTGATGACGGCCGAGACCTCCGGCCTCTGTAGCGGAAACTGGCCATGATCTGAGTGGTTCCCTCTGGGACGATGAACTTCTCTCGCAGCTCCAAGTTGGTCCTGCCTTTAGCTGAGAAATAAAAGCCCAAATGAGCCGTGACGGTCAAACAAGTCTGTGATTATTACCTTTACTGGTGTTGAAGAAGAAGATGATGATGATCATGACAATGATGCTGATGATGACAATAAAAACACTTTATTTTTCCTTTAAGTCTTAAAATTACGCATAATTTCACAAAACTGTTCTGACACAGAAGCAATATTTGGTGGAAATTACACTCAACGTGAGATTATTATTTTTTTAAACAAAGTGCTAAAGACAAGAAATATTTTACAAATTTTTCAGTTGCAGCATGATTTTTAAAAAATATATATTATTTAATTTGAATAGTTTTCTGTTTTGAATGACCACCAAACAGCTTTGTGTTTTTCTAAAAACTGTCAAATACATTGAGAAATTATTAGAATACTTCTGACTTATGTAAAAAAATAGTATAACAATAACAAGGTGTCCTCTTTCAAATAAATAAAGTATTTAGAAACACATGATTCATGCAGTAACACAACTCATCCATACTGTTGAACAGAAGTCAAAGCATCGCTGCCAACAGTAGTGGAATAACTGTTGTGTTTTTGTTTCTTATTGCGAGCTTTAAAATAAATTAAAAAGTGCCAAGATTTAGAAAAACAATCTTGCCAAAATTTGATCATTTAAAAACTAAAAAAAAAAAAAAACATATTTGGCATAAATTAAATCAAGTATGAGTCAAACTAACTGAGTATCATGCAGTTTGAAGCTAAATGTTGAACATAATGTATTTTAAAAAAAATCCCAAGAAATACAGTTTTAGTTTAGTGTATGATATTAAAATTCTCCCCAACGATAAATAAAATGTTCTACATGTTTATGCATAGTTCAGTCAGATAAGCGCCTCATTAATTTTGAGTAAATGCTGAGTCAGCATTCACACTTTTGCTGTTTTAGAGTTTTACAGCTTTTGTTCTGTTCTTGGCTCCCTGTCAAAATCAGAATTGAATTCAAAATCTTACTTCTAACCTACAAAGCTCTCAACAACCTAGCTCCATCTTATATTCGAGAGCTTAATGTTCAATATTTTCCTAACACTCTCAAACTGCAGGCTTACTTGTGGTTCCTAGAGTCTCCAAAAGCAGAATGGGAGGAAGAACTTTCAGTTATCAGGCTCCTCTTTTGTGGAACCAACTTCCAGTTTTTGTCCAGTTTTAATACTGGGCTCAAGACTTAAGGTTGGCTTTTTATGCTGCCATAGGCTTAGACTACTGGAGGACAAATTGACCTCATTTCCTTAAATGAATTGTTACAAATGAATAGTTTTCATTTGATATTATTTAACGTGATTCTCGACCTGCCATTGTGTATCTGTTCCTCCTTCCTGTTCCTACCAAACCCAGCCGGTCAAAGCAGATGGCCGCTTGTCCTGAGTCTGGTTCTGCTAAAAGTTTCATCCTCATGAGAGAGTTTTTCCTTTCCACTGTCGCCTTCATGCTCGCTCAAGATGAGAGTTCTGTGATGGGAGTTAAATTCAAAGCAGTCTGCTCCTCAGATAATGAATGTTATTAACGTTATATATGTATGAACGTTTCTGTTCAGTGCCCTGACATGACCCCTGTTGTAACTTAGCGCTGTATAAACAAACTGAACTGAAATTGAATTCTTATTGTTTGAACTTGAGCAATTTCTTTTCAGCTTCTACAACCAATTTAAGATAGTGAGCGTTCACGCTGCATTTTTAGCCTAAAATTCCAATTTACATAGTTTTTAATAGTTTAGAGTACTTTTTTTTTGCTTTAACTTTAAACGTAAGCTACATGCTGTGAGTAACAACGGACGATTTGGTTGCTTGCAGCCTCAAAGCACTCGAGTGACAGCAGACCGTGTGACTGACATGAACTGCATGCATGAAATCCAGCTGCAGCTGAGCGACGGCCGACTGAGAACGCAGCCGATGCCATTAAAAAAAAAATAATAACACCATCCACTCACAATGATGCTCACACGTTGCTACGCTACACAAGTGGTACACCGCAGGACCAACACAAGCAGCACACACTCGGATGTGCAGACACACATACCGCTAGTGGGTTCATGGAGCAAGGTGAGAAAGTGTGAGATTTGCCAACCTATAGGAGACTGAGTAATCGAAGAGTTTGACTCCGAGCGCAACATTTTGCTCCCGTGGTGATGAACTAGAAGAAACAATACCACGTTCAGCCGGAGGAGGAAGCAGGAGACACAGATTGATCATTAACACAGAGGAAAGCAGAAACAGAGTTATAAAGCTTTTGTTGGCACAGAGAGGATTTGTTTACACCTGTGCTGACAGCTAGATGATAATCACTCAGGTAATAAAAGATACACAACCTCAAACCTCACTTTTTTTTATAATTTTGAAATAAACCGACAAAGGAGGATGATAAGTCGTCATAAAAGTTCATGCGAAATATGGCACAAATTACAGTAAATCTAAAAAATTAAAACCATGTCATAAAAGCATTAAACAATCATATTTTTAAATTAATAATTAACTTTAAGCTCTTAAAATATTTGGCGGGAAGAAAAAGTGCTTTTGCAGTTGAATTCCAAGTACAGAAACAGAAAAGTCTAATAACGTTCATGATTGCAATTTTTTTTTTTTTGTCCATGTAGCTTTTCTGTTCGACTTTATTATAGACTAATTATTTCTACCCTAACTGGGTTATATATTTAATTTAATGCAAAATAAATAATGTGTACAGCTTTCATTGTATATGTCTTTCAGGTTTTTTGAATCATTTGAAGTGGATCTGTGTGATAAATATCTAGATCAGGGGTATTCAACTGGTGGTCTGTGGGCCACTTCCGGCCCGCAGATGACTTCAATCCGGCCCACCAATGAGTTTAAGAAAAACTTTTTTTGTTTTGTTTTATTGGGTTCTGGGTTATGTTATTTTATTTTTTAATTTATGATTCAATTCAATAAAACAAACAATTTTAAAAGGTAATAGATTATTGTAATATTTGGTTTATTTACATAATGACTTTAATCGCTGGATGTCCGGCCCCTGAGCTGCTGGCTTTCAGAAACTGTGCCCCCCTGAGTAGTTTTGTTGAACAGCTCTGATCTAGAAACTATGAAGTGAAAATTCAAAGCAAACTGTTGGCTCCTTGGATAAATATTGTTATTAAATGACTTTATATGTATGTGAATGTTTCTGTTCAGTGCCCTGAGATTATTTCTGCTGTGATCTGGCGCTATATAAATAAAGTGAATTGAATTGAATTTATATTTAATAATAGACTGATGAAGACTGCAAATCTTGCAAAATACATTTAATAATGAATTTGTGGTTGAAAAAATAGCAGACTCTCTGAAGTGTCAGGGTTGTTGTAAATAAACACATATGGAAAGCTCTAATGAGGATCTTCAGACCATCAGCTGTGCGTTGTCCTTAGACTCACCTCGACAGGGGTCGTTCTTCACCAGGAACTCATCCAGCGCCATCCACCCTCCTCCCACCCGCACCATCACCGTGCTGCGTAAAATTCGCACTAGACGCAGCTGCTGGGAGTCTCCGAACTGCGACGGGGAAAAGAAAAGCAAAGAACGGATGCGTGAAACATGTCAAGCACGCCGCGAGGTAGTTTTTACTTCACGTAAGAAGCTGCGCAATTCAAGAAACCAGAGTGAGTCAGAGAATCGTGTTAGTATTTTAAAATGACTTTAGAATGAGATTTTTTGATTAGCGAGGTTTTAGTTTCATTTCTACTCTGGTTGTCTTTTTTTGTTGTTGCACAGGTTAACACATAAACACTCATATTAGACACACACACACACAAACACAAAATAATTTTTATTTATTTTTGTCTTTAGACACTAATTACACAAAGGGGCAATGGGGGTTCCAGTTACTATTATTCAAACGACAAACTGAGCTCATATTTTTCATTACTTGTTTATTTCCAGCACTTCTTATAGTTCATTCAGTCACTTGATGTTGAGCCGGACTGATTTTAAATCAGATGAGAGAACAGTGCAGTTTGACATCATCATAAATATTGTGACAATTGATGATTGATTTTCTTTCAACAATTAAATCATCCAATAATCACGTTTAAATTATTTGCTCTGATAGTATTCAGGGTTTTACACTAGCTGGAGCCTATTTCAGCATTTCTTTGGTGGGAGGCTGGATACAGTCTGAACTACGGTGGCCCTGAGGTGTAAATGAACAACATTTGAAAAAAAAACGAATTACATTTCAAAAAATGAAATTACATTTGAAAAGCACAACAAAACAACAAAAACACAACAACATTTGGACAAACAGAATCACATTAAGTTAAACCGGGGGTGACGTGTACTTTAGAGTAACAGGGTGGACAGTTGACTCAGCTGTATTTTTGATAATTTAAGCATAAAAATATTGTGAAATAAAAATAAAAAAACATTGGATGAGAACTATTATAAACAGTACTATTAATATATATATATATATATATATTTTAAATTACTTTTTTAAAATTATTTTTATTACATACAATTGTAACTTAATTTCAGGAAGCATACATGGCCGTAAACCCAAGTTGAATTTAAAATTAGATTTAATTATTTTAAATAAATACATCTTTTATACATATGGTTGTGTTTTATGGTAGAAGTGAGTCAAACATATAAGATGAGATTAATAAAATAAATATTAACCCACCTTTAAACAAAATATACCACATTATGGCATGGGGACTCAAAAGGCACCGAATAGTAGGAATGACCCTACTAAACATTGTTCTGTTGTTCTGATTTATGTTGTTTAAATAAATAAATAAATAAATAAATAAAAATAAATAAGAAACACAAAATTTAAAAAAAAAAACACCACTTCCAGTTTGGCTTAATATAATTCCAGTTTTTTGGTTGTTTTTTTTTCAAATGTAATTTCATTTTTTCACCACTTCCGCTTTGGCCATTTTCATTTTGGCTTAATTTAATTCCGTTTTTTTAATTTTTTTATTATGTAATTTCGTTTTTTTCAAATGTGTGTTTTTGTTTTTCCAAATGTAATTTCTTTTTTTTTTTTAATGTACTGGTAATTCCGGGTTTTTTTTTCCGAATGTTGTTCATTTACACCTCAAGGCCACTGTACTGAATAGGACAACAGAGTCAAAACAATGACACACAAGACAAAAAAAAAAAAAAGTACTAACATTCCTTTTACAGTTAATTTAGAATTAAAAACTTAATATGGATGTTTTTGGACTGTAGAAAAACAGGGAAGCACCCTGCAAAAAACCTGCTACTCGCTGTTTTTATTTTAATATGGAGCAGAATAAACTTAACAGAACGAGTCAGGCTGAAAAACATCTAAAACCTGTAACGGTTTAAACTCATATTTATACTATAGCTGAGTTTGAATGAAGCTGGGACATAAATACATCTCAAATCCACAGCTTTACACATGTGACTGCTTGTTTAATTACTTTTATGATTTTTGCAAAAAAGCAGGTTTCAGTCAGATGAAGGCTGATGCATGCTAAACACGGCTGAAGGCGCATTAATAAACCACCAGGGAGCCCTAGAGTACAACTTTGCTTTCACTCTACCAACCACACAAATAAAACATGAGGACAAAGCAGATTTATACACACACACACAAGCCAAGCTTTATGAAAGTGATGAGAGAAATAGAGAGCTGGGTGTGACCATGAGCATTAGCACGAAAACATAATTTGCACATAACAACCACGGCTGCATGCTTTCAGTCCAAAACAGGCTCACGCCATAAACAAATGGAACAAACACGATACTTCCGCAGTCTCTGGAGCAATTTCTACAGCTACGACTCAAATACTCGGGATGCACTGACACTGATGCAGACCAAATGCAGCTTGCTCTTGAGAAAATGAAGAATGGCTCAAGTCATTTCTGTCCAACACGCCGACATGACCAAACACTGATGACCTTCTGCTAAGCTCGTATGGGGTGTCTTAAACTGTTCAAAACCCTGCACTGGCATGATTATCAAAATGAATTAATGCAGCTGGTGATTCTAGTGATCAAAAACAATAAAAGAGATGAAGGAGAAATTAAAAAAAGAGGCACAAGAAACAGCTTAAGAGTAACCATTTACCAGAATACAGCTTTCCAAAACTGCAACGTGTAGATGCTGGGTAAGATTTTGATTTTCCCTGTTTGCTATTGACTCATCGCCCATTAAGGAGTCATGTAAGCAGTGAACCAGACCAAACTGTCAAAAGAGTGATTTCAGTTCATCAATACAAACCATGACATAAACCACCTCCGAACAAAAAGGTTATATCAGTAAGTTCAAAACAACAATGAATTATTAAGGCTGGCCAACTTTTCATGTTTTTTTTAAACATTGTGAGTCTGCTGATACAAAAAAAAAAAAAATTGTCAGCTTTAGTGGGTGTAAATTATTTCCATGAAGCTGAAGCACTAAAAGCAAGCACACAGAAAGCATTAGTATATGCTCAGCAGATGAATTTATGCCCATGAACCAATAAAATATTTGCTGAAATGGTGCTGAGAAGCCATTGTTGTCATTTCTGAAACTCAAAAGCAGATTAAACAACATTTACAGGAATAGAATGACGTAAAACCTAAACATGTCAGGATTTGATGACACTTTACAGATTTGAAAAAAAAAAAAAAAAAATCTGGTTAACTGGAGCAAAAATCTATTTTTGTATCAAATATCTTCATAAACTCAATCAAATCACCATATATATTGTGTTTCTACTTCTGAGTTCCAGTGTGAAAGGTGCAGCCAGGAATCTGGGCAGAAAGTGTTAACTTGACAAAAACGTGATAAATGCAGGAGGGGCTTAAAAAAAAAAAAAACAAGGCACAGGACAGAAGAAAAAGAAAACGGCTAAAGAGGACATGTAAATGTACCTGGTTTCCAAGGTAGAACTGGTCATGTAAAGACAAGAAAATAATAAAAAAGTTAGCTTTTGTGTTTAATGACATTTGATACATACTTTTACATCAATTTTACATAAAATATTTTAGTACTATTTCCACCATTTCATAATGGTGACGTAGCTTATTTCTCTAAATCTTAAACATCCAGAGGTACAAATCTCCTTACCCTGTATTTGTTTGCTCCAATTTGCTCCACTTGGAATCGTTTCGGGCATTTGCATTTTGCTACTTGACGTGTAACCTAGAAACAGAAATATTGTCAATGAAGCATATCGCAGAGTGATTACCGTAATTTCCGGACTATAAGCCACTACTTTTTTTCACACTTTGAACACCGGTGTCTTATACAACAAAAATTATTTTATTTTATTATTTTGACGGGCTAACGAGCTTCATGCTGCCAAAACATTTGGGCTCCGCGCGCCGGGGGGCTTATGGTGGTTGGTTTGGGGGGGTGGGGGGGGGGTGGGGGGGGGGTGTGTTCCTCATGATTCAATGAGACAGCCTGTTTAAATAAATGTTAAAAAAAACAACAACAATGAAATTAACGAACAGATCACAGTGATCCACTGTGGAGGTGGGGAAACAAAGTTTCTTTCCTCCCCTCCCCCTCCCTGTGGGAGTTTCCACCCTCATTGTACACAACAAAGAATTTGCAGCCACTCGAAAAATAAGCGTGAATCGTAAATCAAATCACGAATTTGCCTCGAGACGAAAGTGACGTTGAGAGCGACAATGAAAGAGAAACTGAGGACGTGTGTGATGAAATTTTAATGAGGCTGCTCAATTCGGACACTGACAAAGACAATTTTAGTGGTTTTAGTGTGCAGGACGAAAGAAGATAGCGTTCAGTGACTTTTTCTGGTAGTCTTCTGTATTTTTTAAAAACCAGCCTTGTTACGGGCAATGTTCAGAAAAAAAAACATGTACTGTACATATTTGTAGGGATGCACGATATTGGATTTTTGGCCGATATCCGATATGTTAAAACTTATTTGACCAATTTGACTTCTTCCTCTCCGCTGTGATCATATCGGGAAGGCGCATGTGACGTCATCACATTGTGCTGGTGTCGCACTCGTCCGTGTCACTGGGTTGTCATACAAAAACAGCGTCTTTCATATCGGTGACTTATTTTGATCAAATAGCCAATGTCCGATATTTAACTTTAACGCTAATATCGGCTGATACTGATACCATGCCGATAATATTGTGCATCCCTACATATTTGTGTAAATTACTGGTACGTATTTAATTAAAAGTTAAAAAACTCTTTCTGTGTAAATATCTCGTTACAACATGGACACAGTTTAGACAAGTGTGGTCTATATATGTACTGTTTAAAAATTATTATTTAGTGTGCACTGCTTATATTCAGGCGTGCTCAATAGTCCAGAAATTATGGTAACTAAGATTTCAGCGTTGGACTTTTTAAAAAAAATTGTATACCTCATCTTCAATTTTGTCAGCATCTGTTAACGGCTTGTAGGCATCTTTGTTGGGATGGAGCGCTGCCACAAACTCGTAATAGTCGATGTATCCGTCGCCATCTCTGTCGAATATGTCCGCCACGGCGCTCATCTCCAGCCGGCTGGTTGGGAATTCTAAGGAGCCATCGTGTGGCATAAGCTGAGCATTTTTGGTGGTTGGTTACAAACGGATCAGTTGTGATTTTGTGTGCCGAACACTTACTGGATGAAAGAATTCCCTCTATGAACTCCTGCCGGGTCACCTTGCCATCTTGATCTTTATCAATGCGGCGGAAGAAGTCCATGACACGAGACTTCTTGTGGTTCATCCAGCGCATGTAGCGCTTCCGCCACACGTCAAAGTCGAAGTTGGCAAATTCCTTTAACTAAAAAAGAAAATAACGAGTGAGCACACATTTGATGACAGTTCATGTTCGACCTAAAACTGGAACCTGGATTTACCTCCTCCTGTCTGTCCAAAGCATCGTTGAGTTTCCTCCTTCGGTCCAAAGCCAGCAGCCACACGTGCTGCCACCTGCTGACCAGCAGGTTGACTCGTGGGTTCTTGGTTTCTATAGGAGCCTGTGTGGTTGATGCGTACATCGTTTGTGTGGGGGAGCGTTTTCCTGTAAATAAAACACAAAATCCTGTACCATGACTGTGTTTTAACCACATGAACAAAAACTAGAGAAATTGCATTTCCTGCGAAAATGCAGTGTGAATGTTTATTGCTGAAGAACTTGCTGAAAAACATCTAACATTAGATAAAAAAAACATGCAGAAATGTAGCTGAAATGGAAGAATAAGCCTAAGTTAGAAGAAGAAAGCAGAAAAAACACATTTGCTTAACTGGGTTTAAATAAGCAGAAATGAGCACAAAAATTAGGAAATTAGCTAAAAAAAAAAGCTGAATTTAGCACAAAAAAAAAGTTGAAAAGTAGCTGAAAAGACAGAAAGAAACTTAAACTACAAGAAGGAAGTGGAAGGGGTTGAAATGAACTAAAAAAAAAAAAGTGGAATGAGCCGAAAAGCTAAATTTAGCAAAAAAAAACAGCTAAATAGTAGCTGAAAGAGCAGAAAA